TTTTTTTTAGCCAGTATCCCTGAAGCATGTGGTTTTTGAGGCAGTTCCCTGAAGTATATGGTTTTCCAACCCTGTCCCTTTGGGGAAGTGTGGAGTAAATCAAAAGAAAAGACTACATTTTGGATATACTGGTTGTAAAGGGGGTCGAGTAGTGCGGATTTCAAAAACCACAACACGATTTGTTTGATTTTGGAGGTGGCAGAAAACCTGGTGTCATTCTTGGAGACCCTATCAAAAAGTCAGGCAGGTCCATCCATGAAAGAATCATGACGCGGTTTTTGAAAACCACACTACTGGGGCATGCTTCAGAACCAGAGCTCAGAATGTTGTGGAATTTCTTCAGGCACCACTGGCTTTGGCATCCAAGGTTCCCAAGATTCCACATCTCCAAGATCTTGTTGAAGACTTCACCAGCCTTGCCAAGCTGGATCTCCATCTTTGGCTTTAACCAGTTCATGAAGCAGGACAGGTGGAACAGATCTTGAAGGGCTGCTGCATCTCGCTGGGCCAGTTTCTGACCAGGGTTTCTGAACAGTTCCCAACACAGATGTACAAGATCCCCCACTAGAAATTTGGGTTTATCTTAGTCCTTTGGGCACATCCATTTGCAGTCCCAGCCTTTTGCTTTGCGGTTGCTGTCTTGGGGGCCTTGCGGTTGAAGTCGGACATCACGCGATGTGCCCACAAAAGCACTGCATCTTCGGTTGATTCCTGTGGGGATGGAAGATGATGGAACAGAGGTGATTGAAATCTCATGAGATATGAACCAGATTTAACATTTTGGACTTCACTGGCCTGAGCCTCTTTCCACACACCCTCAGCTCCATCGGGGATGGTTCCAGGAATGTAGTAGTCCCCGTCCATGTTCTCGATGCACATAGCTGCAGGGACACGATTGTGAGAGATCAGTAGGGATCAGGCAGTCAGGCAAAGCAACAAATCTAACAATGCAAACTGCATTGGGTTGAGAAAAGAACAAACATGTTCAACATGTTCCCAACAGGGAGAATGGTAGCAGGATTCTGCCACTTAGCACATCGGAAGGTGAGTTTAACACATCACCACCTGCATACTCTGGCTTGGTGTTCTCACACATCAGTCCAATGATATCCAGAAGTTCAGAAGGACATCTCAGGAGGTTGTAGGTAAGACGACGGACATCATCCTTGACTCTCCAGTTCTCAGGGTTGTTCAGTTGCAAAGATCAGCAAACAGCTAGCAACCCCAACCTAGATCAAGTTGATTGGTATATATAAACTGAACTGAATTCTCTGAAACAATTTACTATAGTATGATAATATATTGAATTCACCCGCGTACCCAATCCTTGGGCACAGTCTTGTTGTACTCGGCCACAGATCCCCAGACACAATCCCTCAGGCTCATGTGTGGGTTGCTCTCGCGCTTGATCCTGGCTGCTTCTCGGAAGATCAGCACATAGTCCAAGCAGGAAGGCTTGACTTTCTCAGATCTCCGGTTTGCCAGGCCTTGGCTGGGCCCATCAAAGCAGAGATTCGATATCAAATAGAGATTCGATCCCAATTAGAGATTCGATATCCATGTTGACGCGATTGTATAATAGTTTGGACTCCTTTGGAACCAATAAGTTATATGAATGACACGCGATAAGTTTTGACAGGTGACTCAGGGACTCATAGGTGTACTGTTCTGCTCGTTGGTGCTTCTTAAAGTTGCACTTCACATGCCGGAAAGATGCCAAGACCCTTGCAAAGTCCTTGTCAGCATCCACATCAGCCTCCTTGATGTCCTTAGTTGAATGTTGTTTATGTCTTTATTAGAGTACACGCCGGTTGATCATGGCTAGTAGAAACTACTTAGTTACCATCTTGATATTGGATGTGAACAGGGGTCTGGTCAGCTCCATAGGTTTAATATGGTTTAATTCATGCTATGGGTGAAAATGACAGCACTGCTGGGTTCTAGAAGAAAGGGGATGTTGTGTAAGGTGACAAAAGCGATGTTCGCGTATGTTCGAGTATCAAGATATTAATCCATTGTGACCACGCATACGCAAGGTCTACAGATAACAGGGATGACAAACTATATATGGTTGGCCATTTTTGCTGGGTCAGCTCCCAAACGTTTTATCCAGACTGGGGACCCTCACAAGGCCAGAGAACTGTGAGGTATGATGAGGTATGGCATGGTCCATAATCCATATCTCATATCTCACATCTCATTAACTGGCATAATCCATATCAAATCCAACCCACCCTGAAACTGATCCCTCGATTCAATCCAAGCATCGCACAGCTCTACAAGGGCCAAGATGCTTTGGATGATGAGCATCTTGTTCTGCCCGTCCACAAACTGCACGCTGAAAGGCTCAATGGTGCCATCGCCTCCTTCCCTGAAGCGCACATCAATGGGCTCGCGGCTTGCCTCATATCCTGAGCGGAGGAAGGATTGGAAGTGGGCCTTGTACTGGAGGTTCGTGGGGAAGCGACCGTTCTCGCCATACTTGGACTTCTCAGAAAAATCAAAGCTCCATGGAGCCAGGTAGAACTCCTTCGAAGATTGGGGGATCGATTGAATGATGGGCTGAGCATTCATAGCCACCATTTCCGCCACAGAGTTGAAGTTGAAGGTGCTAGACATTGCCTTACAGCCCCAGTGAATGAATTTCAACAAATCATTGTGATATATGACACGGTTGAGTGATAAACCTGGGTGCCATGATGAAGCTCTTCTTTCCATCTTCAGATCCAAGTTGAGACCACAGCCACCGTCCCATGTTGAACTCCGAGCATATCTGATCAGGGAGTCCAGAATCAAAAAGATAGTGTTGAACAGGAACATAAATTAACAATGGTTAAAATCACAACCTGGTCAGAGCAGCCACAAAGCCTCCTCCATCCGGGCAGTGAGGCGATCTGCAATTGATCCAGTCGGCTTGGTGACAGTGTCAGTCTCATCCTCCTTGGTAGCTTTGCTGCAAACTGCTGCAAGATTGGGCTGTGATCATGCATCTGAAAAACAGTTTGCACAATAGGCAAAATACTGAGTGGTGTTTTCCAACCAGGGTACAGCAGGTTCAGGGGCTTCCTGCTTCACATGCTGAAGCACCATGATGCCAGCTAGTAATGGCACCAGTGTGTGATCCCAAAACTGCTGCGCTTGATACAGTCAATAGTTCCCTGCGGCTCCCTGCTCATTCCAACTTGGTTTCATTTGGTACTGTTTGGTGAGGATCAACTCTCAATGTTTTGGCACAGTGTGGTTGGTACAGTGCGGAAGAGCCGAGTGTCTGTGTTTCTGGACCCCAAGATACCCCAAGTCAACTACTGCCGGTGAAACCTGACAATCATTGTGTGCATCACATGTGGCTGTGGCTCATGTAGAACCACACCCCCACGCTGTACCCCAAAGTTTGAATTTTCAATAAAGCTTAGATGTGGAGGCGGTTTTCGCTCCACTGCACAATCCCCTGCAAGCTGCAAAAGATAGTGAACCCCCCTTGCATACTGCTGGTAGTTGTCGTTGAGGTATTCAGCGATCTCTCGCAGAACTTCCTTGCGATCATCATCTAAGGAGCATGCAAGACCTCAGAAACGAAAGCTGGACACTTGGCCTAAAACCATGTGTAGGAGGATGCAACATATTGAGAGCAAGGTCATGTGTCATGGTTGGCGCTTAGCTGAACCCAAGTTAGGTCCAAGTATCTGTTGACTTCATTTCTAGCGATGCTGCAAAGGGAGGTAAAGGTCTCCTGAGCTTTGCATCCAGGCCATACAATTAAAGGCGCCTGGGAACACCTGCGGTCACTTACATAGCCCTTGATCAAGAGAAAGACATCGCTGTCATCTGGATCATACCGCCGGGGCAGAGCATTGCTAGCCTGGTCCACCAGTTGTTGCGGTATGCCTCAGACAGAGTAGAACTGAGCTTGGATGGGGGACCCCAAAAACAAGTGACGGCTCAAAGTTGCAATCAAAAGCCAAGTAGGACCACTTGTTAACAGTTTGCGTGCAAATGGCAATCCCTTCTCACGAATGTAAAGGAATGAGGAATTTCCAGTGGATCTTTGGCACGCTTCCTGTAGGCACCACTCGTGGTCGCGAAGTTGATCATGTTGCCAGTCCAATCCCGGATGACAGTCACATAGCTAGCCTGGAAAAACAAGTTTTTCTTGTTGAAGTGCTCCTTCAGCTTTGAATTCAAAAACCTCGAGTGGGTCCAGAAATGTTGGAAATAGTGTGAACGCATCAGGTTTCAGCAAGTGGACACTGACATGTATGACTTGTGGGTGTGACATCAAGTCATCCAGTGCAAACAGGTTGCCATACGATATCTTGTGGAGACTGCCTGACAGACGGCGCACAGAGTGGTTGTGTTCAACATGAGTTCTTGTGCATGTGGCTGCACAATTTCATAGTGGTCCATGCAAAACTAAGATGAAAACATGTCTTCATCTCCTTCTCGGATGAGGCGAGATATGAGGCCAAAAAGAGCATCTTGGATGCAAGATGATGCAAGGTGAAGCAAGATGATCCAGAAATCACATAACATTTCAATGGACATACATCGGATTGCATTGGATGAAGATACTGAGACTGTGACCTACATCCTCGTGAGTGTGTCCAACTTCTAAATGTTCATGGGCCACGCTGTCAAAGCATTGACATGCTGTTAAAGAACAGCAAAAGCGGTCGAACAAGGAGTTCTTGATTTCCTTTCAGGGTGGTGCAAGCCATGAATAACCATTCAGGCGCTATGAACAACCAGACCCACCAACACAAGCATAAATTCAGACCATCCAATCTCTCCTTCGGGGTGTTGTCTGAAAACAATTTGCAGGTCCTTGGCCAAGGTTTCCCTGACTGTTGCCCCAATTCCCATGATGTTTGAAGGCTGCGGCTGAACACTTCGATACTCCAATCAGACCCAAACGACAAGTCGGGGTCAGCCACATAAATGAAAATGCCTCGTCCATGTACGATACACGCTGTCACTTCACACTGGGGGCGAACCTTCTGCTCCAAAGCTTTTGGGCAAATACCATCAGCATACCTGGGGATGCTGAATTTGCTCTTATCCATGGAATCCTGGATTGCAACTATGAGGTCCTGCTGAATGGTGGCCCGGTGTCTAAACTCCCAGTAACACCTCCGATCTGCAAATTGACCAGCTAAATGCCTCAAATAGTCATCTGCAGCAGCAGCATGTTCTTGCAAACTTTTGGCCTTCCTGATCTTGTTCTTGAGCTTGTGACATGTTGAGCACTTGGCATGGGTGGTCTTCCCACGGTGCCTCAACTTTTTCCTCCACCCTGACGTTTTCAGAACTCTAAAAAATGTGGAGCAGCTAGCAGCTGGTTCATTGACAGAATGGCAAGAAGCAGTGTAGAGTCTGTAGAGATCGCTGAAATTTCCAGGCGGGAGGTACCTCCGAGGTAAATCGCAAGGGTCAGTCTCCATCATCCCAGGGGCAGAGCAAAGAGCAGAGTTGATCAATGCATCAATCAAGACTTCACGGCCATCTTCAGTTGTGAAGTCAGCTTTCCCCACTTCCATCCTGGCATAAGAAGGGTTTTTATGATAGAAAGACATCAGACCAGAAACCCCTATATACAAAGGTAACACATTGCACACTAAGGAATATCCCCACTAAGGAAAAACATTACTGTTACCAAATCAGCTGATCGGCTCATGAGGTAAAGTCTCCGCTATGCTCCAATATGTGTGCTGCAGAAATCTGAGCACGGATGCAGAAACTTGACCGCAGCTAGCTCCAGCTCCTTGATAGGAAAGCTGGAAGTTTGAAGGAATATGGAATGGGTGTCGGGGAGAACGCTTCCATAAAAGCTGGCAGGGTCAACAACCAATTGGTGGATTAACTATGGGCGCTTCCAAACAAATCCAAGAATCCATATTTCCTGGCATCTTCCCCCCGGAAAGCACGTTTGGTTCTGAGCAATCTTGCGCGTCCAATGCCCAAGAGCTGCAGAAATGCAGTGCGACACACAGCTTGCCCTGACAGGGTGAGGAGTTTGTCCAAAAATAACTGCAGATTCAGAGTGAACCCTCTTAGGGAAAAAAGTCTTTATATACCAGCCCGGCTTTCAAAAGCAGGCCTTCGATGAACCACTTTGCTCGTGAGGAATTGCTGCCACTGCTGGATCCAGAGCTGTCCTCACAATCTTGATCATCAGCTGCTTGGCGACCATCAGCTTGAAGGCTCCAAAGCCTTGGGCTTGATAGACATAATGGTATATATTGGGTTTTTACTGGGTGGTATTAAGAATGAAAGGGGCATGCCTTTGTAAAAATGGTGCACCCACATTTGGTCAAGCAACAAGGCGTCTTGGCCACTCTTGCTCAAGCTCCAAAAGGTTATGCAGCAAGTGTAGATCATCTTGAAGGTAAGATGTCTCTTACACCGTTGCTTGCAGCACGGTTTCTTGAAAGCTAGCATGATGCGATCTTTGCTCTTCCCATTGGCAGCAGCTTGAGATTGATCTTCATCAGCAGCTGTATCCATGCACAAAAGGTTGTTCAAAGTCAAACATCTCATTTTGTTGACCACATCGGCTGGAGAACTAGAGCGCGATGATGATGAACTGCTGCCAGAACTAGACTTTGCCCCCCCGGAGGAATCAGAGCCACCCGAATCAGAGTCACAATTCGAGCTGTCGACATCATAGCGGCCCAGCATGGCTAAGCAATGGTTAGATAAGCTGAATATGGTAATCATATGGACTAAAGTAACTTCCTTAACTTATAATCCCATACTTCTGGAAGACTGTGGGACCATAATTGGCAACCGGACCATACTCATGTGTGAAACTGTTTGTACAGGAATATCAAGAGCACTGACCTACAATGACTGCGGTGATGCCCTCCCTGATCGGTGGTGGGGGAAACTGCAACGTCTAAGGATTACAGAATATTACAGATCTCAT